TGCTGGTTTTTGCACATGATCTGAGTATTTTGCGCCCTTTTGAAAAATTTCTGCCTAACATAAGCCACTGATTACAACGTAATAGTGTTCGTTGAAACGTTTTTACGATTGACTTTTCTGTTGACTGTTCTTTCATCAAATTCTGCATTGAACGTTCACATTGATCGTTCGTTTTGTTTGTTGTGTCCTCGATATGCGTTTGCCTACACGATCACTTTTTTGTTTGTGTAATTAAACGATTTTAAGTGCATGTTTCATTCGTTCCTTCTTTCATGTAGTCAGTCGAATGTAGCGCATTTAAGCTTCAGTTTTGAGTTGTTTCGCAAAAAAACTAGCCGAAAAAGGTTTATTAAATGTGGTTATAGTAGAATACAAAAAAGTTTAATTAGTGTAAATGAGGCCTTATCAGCAGCTACATTGATTAAACACTGGGCACCAAAGAAACTGAACGGAATATTGCTACTTTTTCGCTAGAAAGTCTAAGAGATGACTGCATCGATTCGTTCAGTCTGGGTTGCGATTGGTGAATCGCGAGAGGAATTGATACTGAGGATTCATGAAATGTGAGGANATCGATTCGTTCAGTCTGGGTTGCGATTGGTGAATCGCGAGAGGAATTAAAACTGGTGGTTCATGAAATGTGACAATACTATAAAGACGCCTAGCTAAATTTTGATGAAAGGAGTGCACCACACAAAAATACAAAGAATCAACTGATGTTGAATAATTAAGATGATCAAATAATAAAAATAAAGCTTCATTAACATAAAATGGGAACATGGCTGATTGTAAATATTCAAACGTATTTCATTACTTACCAAATTCAACAGATATGACCCGACGTACTTACAACAAAGCCTGAAGAAACAAATGGCTATGATAACAGACATGAGATAATGAATTAATCGGAGCAAATGAATCCATAATCCTGATTTGAATAGTTTTCCTCTGATCGGTTTCATAATTTCACTATCGCTAATATTATTATTGCTCATTTTATTGCAACTGGTATTATTTTGAACAAAAGTATTATTATTAATGTTGTTATTAGTACTGTTATTATTAGGACCATTGAAGTTTCATTGCCATATTAATATTACCAATGTCATTGTCGTTAGCATGGAACCGGTTGAATCGAATATAATTATTAATATTATCAGTACAAATATCAACAGCATTCAACTCGTTGAATCGAATGTATATCTTCATGAACTGATTATGCTGCTGTGTTAGTTTAATTACTCAGATTTGAGGTAAGCTAACAACGATAACAGTTTGGAGCTATCGCAAATCATCAGGATTTGCATAACTAAAGACTGCATCACTGCTTCCGATAAATCATCCCCAATGAAATTGGCTCAGAAGCCACTATAGTTGGGTAGTTGTTCATCAGGAAGTGTTGGTCACAGTCTAAAATAATTTGATCAATTATGTCACTATCGGTCGGTTTAACGTCAAATGTTTATGGTTAGCTGATGCCTGAAATGGCCATTGCGTGTGGTCAGCGAAATGGCCCTTGCGTGTGGTCAGCGAAAAGCGTTATCTGTCCATTGGCCATTGGCAAGTCTACTCGATAAGACGTTTTACTCACTGTCGGAGATAATTAATTAATTGCATTTCCGATTTTTTTCTTAAGAAGCAGTAGAGAACTATTCTCACCGTAATACTGCGTAATTTTTTGCTATCATTTTTTTCCCAACATTATTTTGTTGCTTTCGGTAATCCGTCAGTAGCTATCAACCGAATAAATAACGATTATCTTCTCACTGCAATGAAAAGGTACGGCATACGAGCTGAATAGTTATGTGCAAAGGGGAGAATGTTCAGTTTCGAAAACAGTAACGGAAAATCGTGTTTGAAATTCTATTGGTTGAAAGAGCATCGCACTTATGACAGTAATGGTTTCATTTGAGATTTATTGGGGAAAGTTTCAGTTGATTGCCAGTCAAGTCGTCACATCCTTAGTGAATTCTGAATTAGTGGCTGAATCATATCCGCATTTTTTGTTGTCTACTGACTAAGAGTTGAAGGAGGAACTAGGTTACGTAAGCTGCGAGAATTCTGATGGTCATTGACGACGAGAAGTAACCTATGTGACTTTCCGATTTTCCATTTCATATTCACTATAACTTACCTTCGACTCATATTTCAAGTGTGCAAAGTTCTTGTTAATAGACAATTTTGGAATCATCCAGTTCAATTCGTTCCTCTTGCTACTGAATTTCAATTCGAGTTGAAGTGATAAAAGTTAATCCATGGAACATTTTTTTTGCATTAGAAATTGAAAAATTGATGATTCTCATACTGAGTACAGAAATCTTCTCTGTGTGGTGCAAAATAAAATTACTGCAAAGCCAACACGACTTATAACTGATAAGTTCATATCATATCAGTACCATGCATTCGTGTATTTGTTTACCTGTTTTTATGCATGCCAAATTAGTATGAGCAAACCATAGCTGCCTGCTGATTACAGCAATCTGAATGTAAGACTTATTGCTGTCATTTCGAACGTTCCGTGTTGCTAACATCAGCACTCTTCCGATAACATTCTTTAATCACTGTCAAACTGCTATTGAGATCCTACGGAAAGCAGAATGGTATTTGAAATTTGTTGGTTGCAATTGATCTGAAGTATTATGTGCCTTTATCTCGTCTTTGATCATTTCCATGAAGAATTGCAAATTGTTTAGGAATTCACTGTGTAAGAAACGGTAATTTTAGTCACTGATTTCGAGTCAGTTTGGGATGGCGCTGTTGCGGTCATTCAACCGACAGCGTGGCTTACGTAAATGTCCCATTTGTAGTGTTATGGTCAAAGCTGGTAAATATTCAACACATATAAATGAATGTTTGATGAATTCGGATGATGACGATTGCGTGGTAATAATTGTTTACCTTATCATTCCATTTCTTTTGCTCAAGTCAGGTGCTCTCGCAATTTAAAATTCTCATAGTCATAGAAATGTTGTTCGTAGAAATTCACATTCTCAATTGAATTGGGACAATCTTGTTCATATAATAATATAATACAAATTAATAATATAATGATATTATAATGCATACACATGTAATTCATATAATTCATATAATACAAATTTGGATAATTCTTCAAGAAATTAATTGGAATGCACAGGGAATTCAGGTTGTTGAGACCATTACGGCAGAAGAAAAAAGGCGACGCGCTGCTGAGCAAATCATTTGTTTGGATCAAAGTGGTGAGGAGTCAGCAATTGGAAATTCGGTCGCAAGTACCTCAGTGAAATCAACGGCTACCGAAGAAATGCTGCTGGAGTCATCTGATTCCAACAATAACATTTCAAACGAGACTGCAGCTGTTACGAGAAAATCAGACAGAATCGTAGATACCAATGGAACGGGAAATAAGAGTAGATGCGAAAATCAGAGGAGAACCCGAAGTCGAAATGAGACCAATGAAAAAAGGCCAGTGGATTCGAACGATAGCGGCCAATCGTCTGTTAGCAACAACATTCAGGTTCGGGGTGTCATGCTCATGTTCACCGATCTTGCTGGAAGCAGCACAAATCTCACCACAGATTTCGACGGCGAATACGCCAACAAAAAATGCATAAAGAATGAACTATCGTGCAGTTTCTTTCAATGATTTTGACATGATGCATACTATTAGAATTGCTAGCTCGCCACCTTCTCTCAGATTCCTTATGCGAATCATTCTGTTAATACAGTTTGTGAGGATAATCTTGAACTCTCTCGCATTCAAGATTTTCGAATGAAATCATGCTGAGGTGAGATTTTCAGCGACTAGTTAGGTATGACGTTGTGGAATATTTGCCTTCATCATGACCCTTTCCATCCAGTGGGAGGCAATAAATCCGATGTCTTTCATTGATAGCCATTTTAGGGTTTTGAAGAAGTCGAGAACAGAATTCGTGGCATTGGAACGGGTAGAACAAGCGAAATGATGGTTCAAGAGGAGTGTAATGTATTGGAGAGAACGACCCATAATAGGTCAGTTACTGAGAATCTGAATGCAGGAGAGCAAAGGAACGAAGAAGTTGAGGAAAGTTTTGGTCGAATCGACTCATCAACATCGATTCCAACGAGAAAAGGGAAGCAAGCGACATTGAATAACAAGAAGCGTTCAATCAAGGTTTTCATTTAGGTTTTGATTATTCAGTGAATTGGTAATAATTCCGAAAGAACTGTTGCCTTGTTTTTGTTGAAGTATTGATAACAAAGATTATCAGAATCTCTCCCAATTGATATTTGAAGNGAACTGTTCAGATGAATCTGAATTATAAAGTGAAGAAAGTCAAAAGGACAAGCGAAGTCGAGCCAAATGATAGATCTGAAGAAGTGAGGTCGCAAATCTCGCTGTCGATGAAAAACACAATCAAAATGGAGATCAAGACAGAGCCGAGAATCTGTGAAACTGAGCGAGAAATCAAAAAGTCTGAAATTTCATTAACGAGGTAAATTGCGAATCGCAGAAATATTGAATGTCAAAGCTCAAATTCTCATGGCATGGTGTTTGCTTGCATTTCTGTGTTGATCGTTTCAAGCTCCGATTTGGCGGATGCTATTTGATTCTCTTCATGCGCCTTCTGATGCCACTTATTTGCTATTCTCCATCACTCGATGCAGAACTGTGCATCACGCAAACATAGCTCTTTGTATATCTGAATTCCCAGTTAGCATATGTACCGCGTGTAGATTGCACTACTGAAAATAGTGAGACACTCGTAATCTTCTCTTTTGTTCACACTTATCAGAAAATACTTATGATGTCGTGAAGTTGTGTCCACCTCAAACCAATTCGTTTTGTGCCAGCATATCGCATTTATTCCCTTTGATGACTGATTTGTTAACCGGTGTTGTTTTACCAACACATCAGCAAATTGGCTCTTTTGTAGGAAGAGCAGTCCTAGGGTTGTCGCTCGTCCGCCAACTGTAAATTCCTCACCAAGAATGACGAGGAGCAAGCATGGTGCCGAAGAGGAATTGATTAGCTTGGCAGAAGTGGCGAGAAGAATTCGTAGGTCATTGCGAAACTGCGAAACTGAATTATCGGCGACAGCTGTGCCGGAATCTGCGTTGAAGAGTTTGGCTGATGATTGCAACGGAAACGACGACAATAACGATGCTGATGAGACCACTACCGTAACTGATAATGCCACAGAAACGTCCACATCTGATGGTGATGATCAGCAGTCGAATGCTTTGCCACCTTATTATTTGGTGCTCTTTATGAGAGTCCTTAAAAGGGTAAATTCGAACTCTGTCAAAATTATAGTTCATTTGTCTTATTTTCAGAAGGGTTTTTATTTCATAATTCAGTTGAAAACAGTGAGACACTCGTAATCTTCCCTTTTGTCTACACTTATGAGAAAATACTCATCAAGTCCGAGTCAGTTGTTTAGTTGCGGAATTCTCTATAAGGGAATTACTTCAGGTATTGTACGATCAGTGTGATGAGCGATCACATTATTCGCCATTGTTTTGGGGTGAGAATTTACGAATGGCTGAAAAATTTCTTTCCTTATCAGGTATGCTCAATCACTTTTAATTGTTTATTCGAGAATGTACTTGAGTGGAATATATTAATGATTGTTCGATTGCTTGGCTTCTACAATAGCATTTAGTTCATCTGTTAGATGTAAAATCGCTTGTTGTTTCAGCCAGTTGAGCAATCGAGCTTGAACATTTTCTTCTTGTCTATATCATTTGTACATCCTGTTGAAACGAGCTGTTTCAAGTTTGAGTTTAACTCCAACATCCTAAGCAAGCATTTATCCATTGTAATATAAAAGAAATATTTTCACAGGTGAAGCAAAATGCCTTTTTGTGAGATTATTCACCCGTAAACGTCGTTGGGTCCTTGCGGATCATTTGAAGTGAGTTTTGTGAATAATGTTGACGATTCTTAAGGTTTCAGTTTGATGCAGAGTATGAAGGAAACGAGCTGCATAAATCGTTTTCTCAGAGCACATTTTGGATCGGCAATTCGATTCGAATTCATTTCCAGTGAAAATTGTTATCTTGAGGGGTCTGGGAGAAATCTGAATAATTTTTGCCGTATTCCATAGTCTATTCTTGTTCACTTCTATTGTTGATGATTCTGAAATCCCGATGATGTTTGGTCAAACTTCTCATATTCTTTGAACAATATGCATACATTCTCAGCTGAATTGTGAACGAAGAAAGTCGATGAAATTCGGTTGTAAATGATATGATTTGCAGTTATGGCAGCATCGCAACCGATTTACTGCCACTCTTCAAAGAACTCGATTCAGCCGGCTTGATAGAATCGTGTAAGACATCTCATCTGTTTACGTTCATCACATTAAAACTCTTCCATAACAGGAATCCGTTGTAGGATCTATGTAATGAGTACATTACAATCACTAACTTACATTCACAGTCATTCCTAGTCATGAGAGAATTCCTTATTGAACTTGTCGTTTGTGATTTCTGCAGGTCGTTCGGGACTCAACGACTTGTCAGAGGCTATCAAGTTGTTGCATGCTCCATCACTGAAAGTGATCGGTAACAAATTCCATGTCAATGTGAAAGTCGGTAAACTCAACATTATTCACTCGTTACTCAAGCT